GCTTTATTTCACTTCTTTTGGACTGATCAACTGCAACACCCGCTGACTGACATTAAACAGCTTGGAAGATCAAAGTCAATTTTTAATATAACTCCGATTGGATTCATCTGAAAGAAGGAAGTCATATACGCCTAGGATGGCTTGAGGGTGAGTAATTCATGGGCTAATTTTCATTTTTGGGTGAACTATCCCTTTAAGGAGAAAATGTGGGACTAAGTAAAAGGAGTTAATAATAATAATAATTTCTAGCTCCAATGTATTCAACATCAATTTAATAAATTACACAATTCACCTTGAATTGCTGGATACAGTTGATGTAGACAGTCCAAAATCTTCATTTTACCAAAACTTGATGCATTTAAAATTAGATATTTTTTTATGCTATGGTACTGTATTCTTATGTTAGATAATTAGTACTCACCCCTGTGCCGTCTCCAACCCAGGCCAGAGACACCGAGCCACTCAGGTCATTGAAGTTATACTAAAAAAATAGATGTAGAGACATAATAAAGATCGCATGATTGCAAATAAACATTGTAGTTACAATTCTAGAGACGGATCATCTTAATAATCCCTGCACCGCCAACGTGAATTTATGAAATTTTCTCTCCGAAAATAACCTGCATAAATCAAAATAAATTCAAACCACAACAAAACGGCTCATTTTCATTAGCACCACCACATTTGGGCTCTAAAATCTCCTTTATCATAATATTGTTCTCTCAGTCCTAATGCAGGTTTGTTTTCAGAACGCTTCTGTGGTGAAACTAAACACCACATGCTGTTTTACTGTAGTCCACAGGGATGGGATTGCAGGCTGGATTCAGACTAAAAATATAAAACAAGAAAAAAAAAATAATAATGACTAAAAGCAGGGCTCCAAACCACAGCTTTACATAGTTAAAAATAAGAAACATCCAGTACAGAACAGAAAGTAGTCACACAAATACTTAACTAAAAAAGCTAATTTGAGAAAAAAAGCATACTTTCATTCTTGTTTCTGTATTACAGACAACAAACAGCAATTTATATGCACATTTTCAATGCAAATGTATAAATGTTTTGATTTGACAGCTTTCCAATCCTTTGGAGACAAAATCAGACATAATTTAGACAATTGTTGACATACAATAAAAAACATATAAAATTCATGTAGACTCTTTGCTCAGAAATTTTGATCTTGGAAGAATTTAGTCTAATAACTGAGTTGAATCTGTTGAGTTATTCTTGAGATTTCTTTTAAAATACTAAACGAGATACATGTGAGTCGTGGTGTCTTTTCATCAGGAGAAAAATCAGAAAAGCAGGACACTTCTCCATTTAATCTCATTACTCTATATGAAAAACTGAGACATTAAACGACCCTTTATAAAGTTAAACTGATCAATAATCAGCTACATAAAAACCACTACATATAATGCCATTCAGATGTAGTGTGTAATAAAAGGCAACTATGCAAACACATTTACAGTGCTTAATCAGAAAAAAACCTGGTGATTCTAGGAAGAAAAACACAAGTGCTGGTTTTTATCTTTCCACAGGGAAGCGGAACCATGTAGCGACATGCACACAGAAACCACTGCTGATCCGACAGATGGCTGAGCCGTTGTCAGCCGCCCCACACTGCTAGGGAATGTGTGTTTGTGTGTGTGTTAGGGCACATTTAAGAGGACAGGCCCGCTATCAGTCGAGTGTGCAACCTCCCTTTCAGTTTCATTCGCTGGAATGCGAGACCCAGATGGTGTGTGTATGCGTGTGTGAGGAACAGAGCGAGTGCCCCACATTTTCATCTGCCTCACACACTGAGCACAAGAGAGTAACTGATGTCCAAGAGATTGTGGGAGAGAAAAGGAGGGAAAAGAATAAAGAGAGTCCAAACACACATACACTGGCTCTGTTCCAAAAGCTAGTGAGCTGCTTGGTTGGGCTGCACGATTATGAAAAAAAATCATAATTGTCGATTATTCCCTTGAAATTGTAATTGCGATTATTAATTACGATTATCACAATTTACATTGAATGATGTTTATACCATTGTTTTATGCAACTGCATGCCGTATTTTTATATGAAAATAAACAAGCTGAAAACACTCTAACTGAAAAACCTTTAGTGCTTTTCTATAGTATTAAGCCTCAAATGTCAACTAAACATCGGATTGGTTTCTTCTTTAAATTATAAAAAAGTAAAAATATGTATGGTATTATAATGTTATACTAAAACTAAAATTAAAATAATGGGAAAAACCCTTAAGATAGCATGTAGAAAGAAAGAAACGCATCTTAAGCACGCAGAATAACATAAGTGGACTTTGAACAATTACGTAAAATTGTGGCATCCATAATTGTAATCGCGATTAGAAATTTGATTAATTGTGCAGCCCTACTGCTTGGCTATTACTACACAGGCATTTGCCTCTGATATAGAATTTTGTAAGTGGACGCTCAACATAGACAACTGCTTCGTTATGAGAAATGCACAGAGGACGATTAAATCAATTTCATTAGAGTACGTTGCTAAACTAATAACATGACACAAAGCATGTACATGTGGGTAAAATACACCAGACTTTGCTGTTGCAAAGCATACTGGGATTATTATCATTTTTATTTTTGCAAAAAATAAATAAAAGATTTTCATAGAATTTGGTTAAAAGTAATGTTGTTGCCAATTTAGAACAGACTAGAAGTGTTCCTATCATGTCTTAAAATGGTGCCTATGTAGGCAGATCACTATGTTTTGGCACAGAGACATACATTCCTGGGTGTTTTTTATTTAATGGAGGAACATAATGTGGTAACAGGGCTGTGTGTAAAATATGCTAAACATTAAGTATTTAAAAAGTAATAAAAAAGTTTTTTTGATACAATGGGTTGAATATGAATGTTAGAATAATGACAATTAGGCATGAATTAAAAAAAAGAATAATTACAATAAAGACAATTTGTTTAGAAAACGGTATAGCAAAGTGTTGTACAAGTAAAAATAAAATAAAATAAAATATAAAATAAAAATCTAAAAAAAAAAAAAAGTTATAAAATATCAATCAGGACTAGTAAACCCGGATTAAAAAATAAAATAAAATATGTTGCAAAAGATCAAATAGGACAGTTAAAATTAGATTAAAAATCAAATCAAATCAAATAATAATAATAAAAATATCAAATCAAATAAAACAAAAAAAATCTTACATCAAACATGACAGGTCCAATCGGATGAAAATGTAAAAAAATGTATAAAAATAAAATAAAAAATAACAAAAACAAAACATCAAACATCTGTTACAAAACATCAAACAGGACAGGTGCGATTAAGAAAGATGATAAGATAAGATAAGATAAGATAAGATAAGAATTATGAAACATCGAAAATCAAGCATGGAATAGAGCCACAACTGAGTGCAGTCATTAATAAATGTCTGTCTTACAATGCTGCCTATGTAGTAAGCTCACTGCGTTTTGGAACAAAAACCATGCACACAACTGGAATAAATAAAGAAAAAAAATTCTGATATGGGGGCCAACACCCAATCTACACATTCAGATCCATTTTGAGTATATCATCTACTACTTTACAGTCCATACGGATATGTTTGTCTAAGGAGGCCTCCACCATACTCCTTTCTACGGATCACATCCTCTCTGCATTTCTGCAATTCCACCCAAGCCCCTGGGGATCAATGACCATGTCACAGAATACTCCATTTCTCACTTCTGCTCAGTGATGACATCGACTTACAATTTATACACTTTTTTTTTTTTCATAAAAAGCAGCCGTACTTGGTCCAGGGAAGCAAAAGAACCACAGCATTTTTGAAACTCACAAGCCTCCAGGCCCAATGGAAATTTGCACTCTTACAATCCAAAGTGTGAACAAAAGTTTCCATGTTACCAACCCAGCCAATGTCCTTCTGATGCAGCCCACCTCAAAACACCCCCTGAATGCTACGTGTGTTCCAGAACAGCAAGAAAAAGTCGTCTAAAACACCTGCACAAACTCCAGGGCCAGTGTTCCTTAATAATGTGTCTTTGAATAATGGTTACAGTGGTTGCCTCTCCATTCCTTGCCATATTTAAACCAGAAGCAAAGAAACAAGCTGACATTCCTGTCCTGGCCAATAAAACAGGCTTGCCAAGAATGGCTTGCACCACGCCAACAAGTCTTCGCAAATGGAGGATTAAAGGGTGATGAGAAGACACTGTGAGCATACAACGCTCCTTCACTTTGAAGAAGACCAAAGAAGAGCACATGACTCAAAGAAAGCACCTAAACAAACTCATGACACTGTCCTGAATGCAGTCCAATACACTTATGATTCACCTATGAGTCCACACGTTGATGTAATGCTTTATAGGTTGCTGGTCAGTATAGTTTTCATACTGGGGTTCCGGGATCTGCAGAAATTTGAACCCTTTCCAGCAGTGACTGTATGATTTTGAGATCCATCTTTTTACACTGGGGACAATTGAGGGACTCAAACACAACTATTAAAAAAAAACATTCACTGATTCTCCAGAAGGCAACACGATGCATTAAGAGCCTTTAAAGAAAACTTTTGAACCAGATGAAGATGTCCAAATTTTTCTTATTTTGTTGAAATATAATTTTTTTTCCCCATTTAGTACTGCCCTTCGGAAGCAACAGAAGATACTTGCATGTTTCCCGGAAGACAAATTAAGTACAATTTACCTTGATCGTCAAATTCTTAATGCATCGTGTTTCCCTCTGGAGCATCAGTGATCAGACTCAGACTCTGTGAATCCCTACCAACATTAAAGGGTTTGCAAACTGGTCACAGGTCAGTGTGGATTACTAAGGTGCTCCACTAAGACTAGCCACCTGCGTGTGGGGCCATGGGGCCCTCGAAATCCTCCAGAACAATCACATGGCAGACATGCTTTTTCAAGAGAAATATCTGAAATATACTGCACAATGGCAGAAATGTACAGAAAATTAAATACTCCTACTTCTTTCCATCCATGGTCTTAGCTCCACAAGTCCTCTCCAGTGGACACGCTAAAACCATGAAGAACATAATTTGGGCTGCTTTCCTGGCATCTCACCAACACTGAGCATTTCAGAGAGGACAGAAAATGTTTTCTCTGTACATTCTCCCCAGGACCGGGAAGGGGAAAAACCTGGACGTCTTTCCCTTGTGTTGAACTGGTAAACAGTCTTTGAACCCCAGGTCCAGCCAAAGGAAGCTTTAGACTTGATCCAAATGGCTTCACAGTCTGAGGACCAATAACAAACATGACTTCATCTCTAGACAGTAAAAAAAAAAATAGAATTTAAGTTTAATAAGAGACGCGACTCAAGTTGGTCTTGAAATAAGTGCTATTTAGACAGGTGGGCAAATGCTAACACATGAATCAAAAACATGCACAAAAATATCCTAGAATCAAGAACTTAAACTATGTTTTCTTAACTGGAAAGCCATGGCGAAATGGGTAAGAGGTCAGCAGTTCATTAGATGGAGCCGTGTTTGTGTTTTCGTTGGACTCACATAAATAACACCCCACTGGCACAACTCAGATGTTAAACATCCAGAGCGGAGTCTCAAAAAGTCTTCCAGCCTCCAAAAAGAGCATCTCAAATCATTCAAACACTTCATCCACAAAGCTGTTCGAATATGCTAACCGCTATACGTTCACACAGACTTTATTTGAAGAATCTACAGGCACTTGTTAAAAAGACTTTACTGTGAGCTTGTAAAGTTTCTAATTGCTCAGGCAGATCATAAATTCCATCATGCAGAAGATGATCAGCAGCCAGTTTTTATGTCGACTGACCACAGAATCTTGCACAACTCCATGGTTGGTTTGTTTGCACATTTTGGACTGAAACAGATCTAGAACATTATACTTCAAACTTACCACTGTATGTATGCCTCTTAATAATGCCTTTAGATCATAAAAAATATGCTTTATTGATAACCAATTATATTTGATCTATAATTTAGTCAATAAATTATTAGTAACTCACTGGGTAAATAGCTGGTGTTAACGGCGGTGTTGAAATTTTGTTTCGATTTTATTAGTCAAGAAGTTGGTGCATTTACAGAACATGCCAATGCCACAAATTAAATTTCAGCACATAACTTATCCTACTATTTGTGCCACACAAACGAATGACTCCTTAAATCGTGCAGCTTGTTGAAAAGAGGCATGCTATTACATTTCAATGCAATCAGGCGAAACAGTTGAAAAACCATATCAAGAGACCAGAACAATATAGAGACTTTTTAAAGGAATAGTTCACCCAAAAAATGAAAATTAGCTGAAAATGGACTCAGGACTTTCAAAATGCAGTTGAGTTTGTTTCTTCATCTGCAAAATGCATCCACAATGCTCAGATGTTTATCTGTTCTAGCTTATCTACACTGCGTGCACGAAACAGATGCTGAAATAGTCAAAACGCGTCATTGGAAAAAGGCTAATGAAAGGGATAGTTCACCCATAAATCAAAATTCTGTCATCATTTACTTACCCTCAAGTTGTTCCAAACATGTACGAGTTTCTTTCTTCTGTTAAACACAAAGACAATATTTTGAATAATGTTGGCAACCAAACAGTTGACGGTAGCCATTGACTTCCATATATGGAAAAAAAAAATACTATGGAAGTCAATGGCTACCAACTGTTTGTTTACCAACATTCTTGGAACAGATTTGGAGAAATTTAGCATTACATCCCTTGCTCACCAATGGGTCTTCTGATCTGTGCATATTTCTCTCCTGATTCAAACAAGACAACTTTTTCACCATAGAAAGTAATATTATATATAGAGGACTCACGTTTTATCCGGAAGCAACGGTTTGAAGTTAAAAACATCTTAATGATTGTTTATTACAGACAAGCAAATTTTTGCTTCACAAGGCATTAACTGATGGACTGGAGTGGTGTGGATTACTTGTGGATTATTGTGATGTTTTTATCAGCTGTTTGGACTCTCATTCTGACGGCACCCATTCACTGCAAAGGATCCATTGGTGAGCAAGTGATGATCTTGAATGGCCTGAGGGGAGTACATTTTCTGCAATTTTTTATGTTTGGGTGAACATTTCTTAGTGAAGAAGTGATATACTAAAATTTCCAGCAACAAATATATTCGGCCGAAATAGTTTAGGAAGGCTGAAATAACTGTCAGAAACAGTAACATTTAAATTAACGCTTCCCCAATGACATGTTTTGAATATTTCAGCATCTGTTTAGTCCAGATAAACTAGAACAGGTAAACATCTCAGCAGTGTGGACGCATTTCACAGTGACCAAAAATTATGCTAGATTAGCAATATATAAAAATTTCTGGCTAAAGGAAAACTTTAATTTCGGTTTCGGTAAAAAAATGTAGTACTAAAAAAAGGATGGGCTTCAAAAGTTGCAAGCATAGTTTTACAAATGTTATTTTGTTCAAATAGCACTGTTGAGAGGTTTCAGCGTACTTGAAATCTCCACTTCAAGAGTAGCCTTAAATAAATATTTTAAGGGTTAAAATAAAGGTTTTACATCAAAGTAGGCTCTAACCACAGGAACTTTACATGTACAGTTGGCAGGAACTGTACGGAATAAACTACATGCAAGTTAATGTTCGAGAAGACTATCCAAACAGGTGTTAAAAGCCCTCAGCAAGGAGATGTTTTTGAGACGTTGCCTTCAAATTCTTTTCCCACTGCACTGTTGTCATGCCCCAAGCCTTTTCCCGTTTCAGAAACATTCCTTTCTTGGAGGAAACATTTCACTTCAACAGTCATTTATGCTGGACGGAATGTGAAAGGACGAGAGCCAAAAACACTGGCCATAAAAGAACTGGCTCTGTGTGCTTTCTTAACAACAACAACAGTCCTTCTCTATCAGCACTTAGACTAAACTCATCACCGATTGCTTTCCCTGAAAACAGAGTCAATATACTCTGAATCTGGATAAATAGAGGATGCTTTTCATAGAACAGGACTGATATGAAAGATATAGATTGGCATACATGTAGCGTAGCCTATCGTTTACCGATAATGCCTGCCCAGTGAGTGGTCACGCCAACTGCTGGTAAAAATGTAATTGATGTGCTCGAGAGAGAGGGTTAGATAAGTGACATATATAGAGACGCAGCATGTTCACTGACTTAAGGGTTAGTAATCAGTCATTGGCCGCTGTAATGGATGAGCTCTGACTGGATCTGGTTAAGCAAAATCACCTGACAATGTGGCGTCTGTACATAAACACAAGAGAAACAGATCGCAGAGACATTACAGGCACATCAAGAGGATAGATGCATTTGTTCTCTTGGCATAAAGATGAAATCTGTGGAATGTCTTAAAGGAACATCAAACACAAAAACTCTGGAACATTGAATGATAAGGTGATGCATGCTGATATTGTTTTTATGATATCACCATCTGGAAAACTTCACAAATATCTTTTTTTTTGAGTGCTTGTTTTGAAAAAAATACTGGGAAAATAACATTTGCTTGCTGAGGAAGGTTATGTAGGTACATTATTAGGTAATCTCAGACCAGAGGCCAGCAGTATGATCTCACTTTTGTGATTTATGGTTCCTAGAAATTTAGGAAGAGCTTTCAAAGTAGAGAAAAAAATCATCCTCAATGATAAGTAAAAAAAAAAGGATACTAACTAAATACTAAACTAAATAAATAGACTTAAGCTTAATAAACTTAAATAAGTTAACTAGCCAAAAATAAAAATATATTTCACAAAACCATAATATAAATTTGAAATAATAATTTTCACAAAATTATAAAGCTTTCCATTATATTATATTATGCGAGTATAATGAGTAAGAGATATTCTGACCTACCGTATGAGTGTTGTTTTTTAACGTAGAATCATAGCCGTGCAGTGATTGACATTGATTTTGTGCGGATTCTTCACTTCTTTTCATCTTGACATGGTCCGGCTGCTGTGAATCTTTCAAACTGAGCAGATTTCGTGTTTTGTGACTCTTTAGAAACATGCTTTGCTCACTCCTCCTGGAGATGCTGGGTCTCTCTTCAAAGTCCCTGCAAAGAGCCACTGAGCAAAATACAACCAAAACACAGCAGAATACGGTGCTCATGGTTTTCGTTTAATGTGCACAAAAATCTTCTGTCTAAATATCCATAAATAGCAGGTTTATTGGTACCAGAACAAAACGTGCAGTGTTTACACTCTGACGCATGTCTGTAGAGCAGCCGCTGTTCGCACTGTTCGCACTGCTAAACTCGGGGATTGTTCAAGATTAAGATAGGCGGACCGTCCGTTCGACACGCCCATTTTATGAATATTAATTTAGTCACGCTGACGTTGCCTGGTAACTCTTTCAATGGCGGTGGGTTTGCTTATAAATATTAATTAACTGGGAGTGACGATACGCGTCAGCATTCCAATGGCAAAGGCTTAGTCATTAATATTAATTAGATGACAGTACTCTGCAATTTACCAATGGCGAAGACCTGGTTTATAAATATTAATTGACAAGCAAGTGGGTTAACCACGCCTTCTGCTGACCAACCTATCTTAGAAATTTCTTCCTTCCGATTTAATTTAACAAAACTACCATGCGTTTGTCATTTTTTTGCCATTGTCTTGGACTGCTGGGAAAAGTTTTTTTTTTTGAAGGTCAGCATTAAATTATTATATGGCATTTTTTGAAAGTTTATATAATTATTACATCATAGCCATCACACCAAAAACATTTTATATTAATGGGTATCACATTTCATTTAATGATATTGCACATAATATTGCTGCTTATATTAAATACATTTCATGTATAAAACATTATTGTATATTAAATACATTTTGTTGTTGCTTCTACACATTTTAAACAATGAAACTTTATGATGTAGAATTAATAAGACAGATTTCTAAGCCATTAATAAAATAAACACATTTGTGACGTTGATCATGTTCACTAATTTGTACAAAAAAATCATTAAAGGTATACTTACTTTTTTTTTTTACATAATTATAATTTTCCCTCCCACACAATCAAGTTAACACCACTTTAAATGCATATTATTAAAGCAAAAAAAGGACATAAATTCTGTAATTCCTGCTAACTTTTCTTGCAAAACGTGATGCTGATAATATAATGAAAAAATACTGAAATTTAGATTAATTTATATATGCATGTAATTAATTTGCTGTACTTATATGAAAGATTTACATCACATGATGAACTATAAAAGCATATTTGACATTTCTTTTTGGATCATTTTTATTAGCCTATGAACTACTTGTAAAAAAACAAAAAACAAACAACATTTTTTTCAACAACAGTTTATTAACGCAGTGATTCATAACAAAAAGAACCCCCCCCCCATGTAATTTAACTACAAGATCTGCTGTTCTGTGCTTGTACAGAACTATAGAAATTTTGGGATTGACAGAGGAAAAAAAAAAAAGTATAAAGACAATTCCTGTCTGAACAGGCAAACCGTAGGATGCAGCCAGAGTATTATATATGCAATTGCTGTGTGGTGATTCACAGAAAATTACACTGGATTTTTCATATTAAACATCAGTCAGGCTTTGCAGAGCTCCGTTCAGCTCTAGATATCCTTGATGACATCCTCAAGCTCTTCTTTGGAGTACATGTGAAAGGTCTTGTCGGGCTCTACTGTGGCAAGCTGCAGGCAGAGAGAAGGAAATTGCCAGAACCTTCATATACTTTTCAATTGAATTATATTTCACATGACCTTTGTGTATTACCTCAATGTTAGTGGCATTGAGTTTCTCCTCCATCACTTGTTTCAGGATAGTGAGAGAAGACTTGATGGCATCCTTTAACGTCATGGACTGAAAAAGATAAATATATTTTATGAACATTTGGTGGGGAAAGAAAGAGACACTTGCTTTTTAGATTTTAAAAGGGACTCTTATTTCCTAAGCACGTGGCTCAATTTGCTGCTCAGGAGAAACACTTTTCCTTTGTGAGAATACTCTCTTCAAATAACCTGACTGTGGCTTTATGGATCAGTTGGCTCAGTTCTTGCTTAGACTTGTGCTATATACACATGGACATTATAGAAAAAATGCATTAGTATTTTTGTATTATAATCATAAATTATGAAGAATGCTCTTCAAGGAATAGTTCATCCAAAAATGAAAATTAGCTGAAAATTTCACCCTCCGCCCATGCAAACTTTAGATAAATGTGTTTCTTTATTGGAACAGATTGGAGACATTTAGCATTACATTATTTGCTCACCAATGGATCCTTTACAGTGAATGGGTGCCATCAGAATGATTCCAAACAGCTGATAAAAACATCACAATAATCCACACCACTCCAGTCCATCAATTAACATCTTGCGAGACGAAAAGCTGCATGTCTGTAAACTGTTGCTTCTGGTCAAAGTACGAGTCAAAATCTCTCTCTTGATTCAAACTTTTTTTTTTACTGGAGAAAGCAGTATTATGAATAGAGCACTTGCATTTTAGCTGGAAGCAATGGTTTGCAGTTAAAAACACATTAATGATGGGATTTGTTTCTTACAAACATGCAGCGTTTCACTTCACAATACATTAATTGATGGACTGGAGTGGTGTGGATTACTTGTGGATTATTGTGTTGTTTTTATCAGCTGTTTGGACTCTCATTCTGACGGCACCCATTCACGGCAAAGGATCCATTGGTGAGCAAGTGATGTAATGCTAAATGTCTCCAAATCTGTTCCAATGAAAAAACAAACTTATCTACATCTGGATGTCCTGTGGGTGAATATATTTTCATGTTGTATGGGTAACTAGGTATGGATGACTAGGGAAAGTTTGTGTTGGCTCAAGGGATGCTGATGTGCGCATTTAAATGTCATTATCGTTACCATAAAACCTTAAAAAGGAAATGGAGATGAAGCAGAAAGAGTGGGTAAATGTACCTTGTGGTAAACCTCCTGCAAAGAGCTCTGAGCTCCTTCAGATGCTGAGCCGATAGCCCTGGCATCACACTGGACAAAAGTGCCTGAAGGATCCATGTGGTATCTGTTGAAAGAAGTTTGGTGTGATTTACATACTTTAGAAACCAAACAAGTCTGTACGGGTACCTAATAAATAAAACACTAATTTTAATAATTATCATGTTTTTGATATTGATTTCTTGTAGATCTACATATTTTTACTTTTTATTAGTAAAAATAGTGATTTTACTAATAAAATTTTTTGATTGCTATTCAAAATGCAATTCAAAAATAAGAGCTGCACAATTTGACCTAAAAACTTGTGATTATATATCAATATTTTGAAACGCAAATCTATAAAAATAAAAAAGAACAGACTTAGATGATCAAACTTTAAATGTAGTGAGTTAGCACAAAAAACGGCAGCTTGCTATGTAAGCGGCGCGATCTTGGCACTTGCTTCCACAACCAACCTGACACTGCCATCCCTTAGACTGATTGGACGATTTTGAGATAAAAGGCGGGGCTAAGAGTGATTTGTCTACTTGATTGGACGAACCATCCTTCACTCAATGACAAGGCATGTTTCGCTTCAACTCCAGTCATTCTTAAATGAGCTCTTTAGTAACACATCCAAAGTTTTTAACGTTATATATGCACTTTTATAAACTCTCAAAGGCCTCAATAAGCAGTTTCCCCTTAACGTTTTTATACAATTTGTTCTTTATTTTGGCAAAAACCATGTGAGAGCAGCACATACACATGAGCATCTAACGTTAGCTAACCGCTTTACTACTAAATAAACAACACACGGGCCGTTAAAATAACTTTATGCAATACACTCTGTTGTTTCAAATGCTTTTGTCTGCTGAGCTGTGGTTTACTGCAGTAGGGCACAACATAAGTATTTATTATGAATTACTTACCTTCTGCAGTGGAGGGTGAGTTTGCTAGTTTCAACAGTACAGGAAGTGTTCATAAAAAAGAACAGACTTAGATGATCACACTTTAAATGTAGTGAGTTAGCACAAAAAACGGCAGCTTGCTATGTAAGCGGCGCGATCTTGGCACTTGATTCCACAACCAATCAGACACTGCCATCCCTTAGACTGATTGGACGATTTTGAGATAAAAGGCGGGGCTAAGAGTGATTTGTCTACTTGATTGGTCGAACCATCCGTCACTCAATGACAAGGCATGTTTCACTTCAACTCAAGTCATTCTTAAATTAGCTCTTTAGTAACACATCCAACGTTTTTAATTAGGACAACTTGTTTTTTATTACAGCCCGTGATAATTAATACATTACAAAAACATTGTAAAAATTTAAAATTAGACTAAAAGAAAGCCTCCCCATTCCTCTATTTCTACTTCTGTCATCGCTTGGATTACAGCGTCACGGCACGCGCCTTCTTTTGAACGTGATTTTTCTCCAATGAGGGGGAGGAGGGGGCGGGACATTTGGCAAATTACGCTGCAGCACTGGTTGGCTATTAACTGTGAGCAGACAGAGTGTCAATTAATACATTGAACAACTCTCAAAGGCCTCAATAAGCAGTTTCCCCTTAACGTTTTTATACAATTTGTTCTTTATTTTGGCAAAAACCATGTGAGAGCAGCACATACACATGAGCATCTAACGTTAGCTAACCGCTTTACTACTAAATAAACAACACACGGGCCGTTAAAATAACTTTATGCAATACACTCTGTTGTTTCAAATGCTTTTGTCTGCTGAGCTGTGGTTTACTGCAGTAGGGCACAACATAAGTTGCTTGTCAGATTTCCCTAACAAGCAACCATATTTTTAAAAATAAGACAAAAAAAAAAACCGCAACCTGCAACCCGGGATTTTTTTTCACTCAACTTTACAAAAAAGAAGCCAAAAGTCGCGTATAATACGCGGACTTGGCAACTCTGGTTCCTACCCTATTGAATTAATCATAAGTCTTCAACACACAGGCTATGATTGTTGTGCTATATGTCGACCAAATCTAGTAGCTGCTATCTGTTGGAGCTGTATTCTAAATAACTTAATTATTAATCGCCACAGTTTTCCCTTTGTTCCCATATTTCTGCCTTTCTATCCCCTGCTTACTTCAGTGCATTCATGCATGCATGTCTTTTAACTAGGGCTGCACGATAAATCGCATGCAATATATAACGCGCATCTTGTCAGAAAGCCGGTTCTGTAATCAGCGGTAAATCTCCATCACGTGCGTGCTTTCACATTGAGCAGCATTAACTACAAAGAGCCGTTGTTCACTGACGAGCTGCGCAAAAAATCACGCGAATATGAACGTGGTTTTGCGCAGCTGGTCAGTGAACAACGACTTGTCTGCGATTTATCGTGCAGCCCTACTTTTAACCTTTATTAAACATCTTCAAATAACAAACAGGCATTATCATTGTTAAACATGAACACAGATTTTTTTTTTCAAACTGACCAATGATAAATACCCAAATACATTTCAGCAAATTAAATAGCAAATTATAACATAAATTAAATTAAGGGGGTTAATCAATATTTTCCAAATAATTTAGAGAGTTTTAAGGCATTTTTCCCGAGCTGCTCTAAAGATTGTAATACATTTTTCAAATCATTTGCCACAAAATTTAGAACAGCCTTAAGAAATCTACATTTGTGTAAATAAAACTTACATATAATCAAAAGTACACATAATTCAACTTTTTGTATGCATGTATGTGCAACAGAGATATTTCTTTTCTTTCTTTTTATTATATATTATAATTGAAAATACATTTTGAATTCCAGCGAAATGCAATTTAGCTTTTGTAAATGAGGATTTATTTATTTATTATTATTAATTTTTTTTTTAGGATAAATGGGTAATTATATATTTCTGTCTAACCCCATTAATAACAATTAGGGAACATGATCAATTTTAAAAACGTTTATTTTATATACACTGTAAGTGTACTTATAACACTTGCTTAATAAAACATTGTTTCATAAATTTGCGTCTTTAATATTTTGAATATGTATTAAAAATTTTATGAAAGTCAGATAAATGAAACAAAGCAGTTATCAACTAGAAGCATTCAACTTTAGCTTATTTTTGGGCCTATTCTGTCCATGTTTCTGAGGGATCTGGCAACACTGCATTGAATTTACTAGTGTATGTCACTTTAAGAGAAAGTTGAAATCACGTGTCTCACTGTAGAAAGTTTGACAAGTTGGTCGAGATAAGTACTCTGTTTTCCCGCTATCGAAAACCTTGAATGTCATTCTCTTGTGTCTTCTTCTGTTAATAACAACCTCGCGATCTCACCTGGAATCGAAGTCTTTTCTTTTAGCGACAATATAAAACACACCCAAAAACATGGAAATCGTGCAGGTAATGAACTAGCAACAGTTTGGTGATCTTCGTCCTTTCCGCTCAGGAAAATCAAGTTGAGGATTTCATCTTTATCTTCTCCATTTACAGAAAATCATGTCGGGGTTTAGTCTGGATTTGGGACCAGTGAAAGAGCCACTGGGATTTATCCGAATCCTGGAATGGGTGAGTTTCTGCGATCACTCAACAGATCCAAATGTCACATATTGTCTCTTTGCTGGCACGTTCATTATGACAATTGATAGATAGTTGCACATGTCTTTAAACACAGTATTATGTGATCATATCCATGTACCTTACACGACAACACAAGTACGTTGCAGTCACATATGGTGCTGTTTTGTCAACAAGGGGCAACACCCATGTCAAAATAATGGATCAAAACTGCTATATCATCCACTATTAAGGTCATCATCAAAACATGTAGACACCTTTAGGTGTGTCATTTGATAGGATATGTGCTGTAGAAATCTTCTCAAGCGCACAAATGCATGCAAGTCCTGCCTTGCGCACAGTCCCTTGAGAATTAAATTATGTTTACATTGCCAAAGGTAGGAGCAACCAAGATCGTCCTGTTTGCCACATGCGCATTAGGAGGCTCCTATGGTGGACTACAGTCTAATACTTACTAAATATACCACTGCAAACAATGGAAAATCTAGGCTATAAAACAGCTATCTGCAGGGTTCTCCGACTGATGTGGGTAACTAGGCCTGGAGTTCATTAACCTACTAAGAAATCAGGCTAGATGTGAAATTAGCTTATGTCAGTCTGATCTAAAATGAAATTTTGATTAATCAAGAATAGATTTATAACAGAATAAAGCTTTTTTCGGAAGGGAATCTTAGCTACTTCGGTTTGCCAGCTAAATATATTTTTGTTTGTCCTCTATTTAGTCATAGACTGAAATTCGATCCAGTTGGTCTGAATTGGTTTAGACATCCGGAAGTAAAAGCTAACTGCCACAAATTTCAGTGGTGATATGTGAAACTATACCTGCATACTGGCTGGCGTAAATATCCGACGGCACTGAAAACGGGCCAAGATCATTTAATTAAGTGATGTTGTATGTACAGAAAAGAATCCCAGCTGGATTGGTGTCCCATTGAGCAGGCCATGTATTTGCATTGATTCTTTAAATTGTGTCTAGGCCTTAGTTTCTTAGCTATATTTATCTCATCTGGCGGGTCTAGTCTCTTTTGCTTTTGCCAATGCCTTTGTAAATATTTGCACTTTGCACACAATTTTACCTTGTCTTTGCAAGTCATTATAATTTGCGAACATGCGAGACATTAGACAAAAGACAAGGTGCAATTTAACACAATAGTGTGTTGTTTTGGATCCTTTGTATGGAGGTAATGGAATTTCTGCAACTTAATCCAGACTGCAAAGGTGCTGCTTATAAGTGGAGCACATTTCATCACAAGCTCATTGGAAATAATCCCAGACAAAGCAAACCCACGGCTCAAGATAATATGAGGTGTAAATGAAGCTGCTATCTCTGTAGGTTATACCAGCTAAACCCTTGTTCCTCTTTCATCTAGTACAGGGGTGTCAAACTCCGTTCCTGGAGGGCCGCAGCCCTGCATAGTTTAGTTCCAACCCTGCTCCAACACACATACCTTGTAGTTTTCAAATAAGCCTTAATGACTTGATTAGCTGGATCATGTGTGTTTAATTAGGGTTGCATCTAAACTGTGCAGGGCTGTGGCCCTCCAGGAACTGAGTTTGACACCCCTGATCTAGTAGGAAATACACTACTACTATGCAGATTTGGTGACACAAAACATGATACTATTTTTTTGCTCGGTCATTCCCTGGTGATAATGGGTGATCGCCACCTATACTTACCTCAAACTTTTGAATGGTAGTGTATCTCGGTTTTTCACCAAAATATTAAGCAGCACAACTGTTTTTTAAAGTCATGATAATAACAAATGTGTCTTGAGCTGCAACTCAGCATGTTAGAATTGATTTCTGAAAGATCATGTGACACTGCTGATGCTAAAAAATTCAGCTTTGCATCACAGGAATAAATTACATTTGAAAATGTATTAAAATAGAAATCAGTTATTTTAAATTCTAATAATATTTCACAATATTATAGTTTTTACTGTATTTTTAAAAATCAAATAAATGCAGATTTTGAGATTTTTTTGAAAAACATAAAAAAATTATAATTATTCCAAACATTTGACCGGCAGTGTAAATTTGTGCTTCTTTAAGGTGTAACAGGTCTGCCGTTAGTTGCATTAAAGTGCTTTGATGTGGAAGAGGATATGGCTTATAGGTCTATGTCTTCATAAGCATTTTTTTTCAAGAATGTCTGAATTGCATCAAATCTTAGGAAATGGGCGCTTTGACACATTATTTACTTATAAAGCAAGAATGTCAGCCACTCCTTTAAAATCAGCATGTGTCTGCAGTGATGTTTTTACTTTTAACCACCACAACCCAGATCTCCCAGTATTAATGCAACAATGAAGATATGGCTTATAGGCCTATGTCTTCATAAGCATTTTTTCTCAAGAATGTCCCGAATTGCATCAAATCTTAGGAAATGGGCGCTTTGACACATTATTTACTTATAAAGCAAGAATGTCAGCCACTCCTTTAAAATCAGCATGTGTCTGCAGTGATGTTTTTACTTTTAACCACCACAACCCAGATCTCCCAGTATTAATGCAACAATGAAGAGGAAGCTTTGGTTGCTAACAGGTGAACTGACCTCTGATCATGTTGACGGTGGTGGCAGGGACGGTTCATTCACACAAGGCGCTCTTTAATAGTCATTTGCTGCATGTAGGTGTGCGTTCCAGTGTGAACGTGGCATCGGCCCACCATGTGGTTCTGATTGGTGCCAGGCACCCTTAGTTGGCTCGCTGTGCTTCTCTGCGCCAAGCACCTGCACCGGCGTACGCTCAACAGGAATGGAGCCAAAGAAATCTTAGGAAATGGGCGCTTTGACACATTATTTACTTATAAAGCAAGAATGTCAGCCACTCCTTTAAAATCAGCATGTGTCTGCAGTGATGTTTTTACTTTTAACCACCACAACCCAGATCTCCCAGTATTAATGCAACAATGAAGAGGAAGCTTTGGTTGCTAACAGGTGAACTGACCTCTGATCATGTTGACGGTGGTGGCAGGGACGGTTCATTCACACAAGGCGCTCTTTAATAGTCATTTGCTGCATGTAGGTGTGCGTTCCAGTGTGAACGTGGCATCGGCCCACCATGTGGTTCTGATTGGTGCCAGGCACCCTTAGTTGGCTCGCTGTGCTTCTCTGCGCCAAGCACCTGCACCGGCATACGCTCAACAGGAATAGAGCCAAAGTCTTGCCGGGGTGAAGATCGCACACCCTCTCTTTAGAAAGTGGAGGGATTTTCTTGGCAGCAAAAAATATAGGGCTATTTTTAAAATCATTTTGAGGTGCAGACCAATGTGTCTCAGGATCGGTTATCTGGTTTAATGAAAGGAGAAAACAAACTAGCCTCTGTTGGAAAGCGTGTGGGGTTTTTATTTTTTACATTTAAATTTTTTGGTCAGATATCACATCATTGCCCATAAGAATCATCTGTTAAAATTGATCTTGATTCATTTTTCGTTAGAAAGTGAATGATCATGCATGAGAAAAATATATACAGAGATAACTTTAGCATTTTCCTGACAAGTATGTGTCATATTTCACCCCAAAAATGTAACTGAAACATGAAATTTTATTTATAATTTTATGTTTATAATAATTACATAAAATATATTCATTTTAAAGAAAATGTAAAATAATTTCCAAAAAATGTTAAAGAAAATTAAGCCTAGTTTTATGACCATTATAATATTTATTATCATGATGGCATTATTTTCATGGCTATTTGATTTTGCACATCCCCAAAAGTGCTTAATATTAAATTTATACTATTATAGTATTTATTGATATTTTAAATAACTTTTATTTTTATCATTTCAGTTTCCATTTTAATTTATATTCTAGTAATTTTTCTGTGCTTTTGTCATGCTTTTGTTGTGCTTTTTTTTTTTTTTTTTTAAAGTTATATAATATTTTATGTTTTAGTAATTTTAGTACTTCAACTTTAACTTATTTTAACTTGGTTGCAAAAACTAATTTTTACATTTTACTGTTTAGTTAGTTTCAGCCTTATTTCAATTACTGAAAATCATTTTTAATAATTGTATTTTTAGTTAACAATTCACAAACCACATTTTTCCCCCTCAAGACATTTTTTCATCAGATTCACCATTTTAAACAGCAGCATTTTGAAAATATAATTCTCACAAAGTTCTCTGTTCTGAAGGGAAGTTCTGCGTTCCACAATTGTTTCTCCTGTGTAACAGCAACTGCTTCTCAGAAGAGCCTTCATTGTTCCTTAAACAGGGGCTTCCACAGAGGCACGTCAGTGATCAAATAGTCCTTGGAATTCTTTAATATGTAGCTGAAATGTAGAAGAAAGGTTGAACTTTAACTTGGTTTGAATATTTGTGCTTCATTGCCACTGACTCAGGCTGGGAGAAAAGTGATAGTCTTAAAGTGATAGTTCACCCAAAAATCAAGATGGTTTGCAATAATATGAGGGTGCGAAAATACTAACAGAATTTTCATTTTTGGGTGAACTATCCCTTTAAGCATTTTCCCATTAGTTCTTCACAATTTGCTAAATCTAAGATCTACAATGTCCGTCTGTTCCGCTGTATGGCTCTTAAACGTTACTTTTTCATAATTGCTAATGTATCATGTCACTTTTTCACAGCAAAACACCTTGGATCAGAGAATACTGAAAAAATGATGAGCTGTGCTACTGTAGTTATTCTCACAAATCTGCAGAAGCCACTTCCTGTGTGGAAGTGGAGAGTTTGTAAAAGGAAAGTGTGAGTCAGTGAGCGTTGAAGGATCATTTACAGATGTAGGGCTTGTCTGGTGAAGACCGCGCTCTTACTATGATATGACGTTAGCAATTGCCACACGCAAACGCTGAATTCATGTTTTTGAAGTTACATTTTTGTTTAAACCGCCACTAATGGGACTGCATCCATTTGTTACTATTAATGTTTCTGATATTTTAACCTGTTTCCAAAGAACCGAACATTTTCACTCAAACCTAAAACCATACAATTTAAAAAGAACAAAAAAATAATTTAGTTAAAATTGTTGATGTTAAAACTAAAATAATTTTTAATTTAGTTGAACTTGATGCAAATAACTAAAACTGAAATAAAAATAATACAAATGAAAAAAACAACACAGTTACAAAAAAAATCATTTAAATTGAACACGAGGGAGGGAGGGAGGGATGGATGGATGGATGGATGGACAGACAGACGCCGACCGATGCTTGACAACAACTCTGTAATGGTTTCATAGAAAATGCAATTTTCTAGATGTCTAATTATCATAATTGTTGTGTTTTTAGGTGTTCACCATTTGTGCCTTTGCCACCACTGGTGGTTATGTTGGATTCACTGCGTTCACCATTGATTGTGAAAGTAAAAATGAAGACATTACTGCTCATTTTGCATATCCTTTTAGGTAAAACATCCAGATCTCTTACAAATTATTACAAATTATTTTTAAGGGAAGGTGTCATTTTTTAAAAATGTTAAAATGCTGTCCTGCTGTTAGTCATGCAATGAGTAATCCATATGTATGTTGTTTGAAGAAAGTGAATGTTAGAGTTTTGTAATGTAACCGGAGAGACAATAAATTGAGCTCTAGTAAACATGTGACTTCCACTTATTAGGCTCCCGAGTCAGCCATATGAGATTCGTCACTGCAATCAGAGCAAGAACGTGACTTTCCTGCAGGGGGATTTCTCCTCCTCGGCCGAGTTCTTCGTCTCTGTTGGCGTCTTGGGCTTCTTGTACTGTACTTTCACCCTCATCCTGTACTTGGGCTACCAGCAGGTTTACAGGGAGTCTAACCGTGGCACGATTATTGTGAGTCATCACTCATTTGGAAATATTATTGTGATTATATGAATGTCATTCAAATCAGTTATTTTGTATTGCACTTTTTAATGTACTTGTTATGAATGTCATGACATTTTTTGGAACAAAATTATCTTTGTGATGCAGAATGTTTGTGACAATTAATATAAAATTAAAATATGGTTAGTGAGGATTTTTTAAAAGGTTTGATTTACAGTTTATTAATTAGTGGCCAACCAGTGTTATTTTATATATTTTTTTTCAGTAGACATATTATTAATATGTTTTTTATATAGCCATAGATATGGTTGCGAGAGATTTATTTAATTAATTTTGTAACCTTTTTTTTTTTTTTGTAATTTATTTGCAAACTTTTCCAAAGTATTAACAAAGAGCTTCATACAATTGCAGAATTGTAATTTTTTTCTACCCCTTTTCATCAAAAATAAATAAACACATAAAAATATCTAAAAAAATAAATAAAATATATATACAATATACAAATATTATATAACATATATATAATTTATTTTTTTATGCAGTCCTACTCTCTGATATATTTGTGATCTGTACAGTGTACATTTATTTTACATTATTTAATTAATTCACTAATAAAATTTAAATTTGAACAGAAAACATTAATTATCGATTGTAAAGTTTGGAAGTATTGTACATTTTGGAAGTGACACACTTGTGTTAATCGTCCAAGTGTCTGTTACTCAAACCTTCTCATGATCTGTTGGTCTAATTTTGTGCTTTTACTTTTGACAGCCACTTTATCAGAATATCCCTAGCATTTCCATGAGCAAGAATTGATATCCCAAACTTTACTCTGTTCCCTCTCCAGGATCTGATTGTGACCGGAATCTTTGCTTTCTTGTGGCTGGTTTGCTCCTCAGCCTGGGGAAAAGGTTTAACAGATGTCAAATATGCTACGGATGCTGACCGGCTAATAAAAGCTTGTCTGCCTGATAAGTGTGTGGTGAAGAGCTACCCTTCGATGGGTCGTCTCAATTCCTCTGTGGTAAGTGCAATTACTGTTAGGCCTGGTTAATATCTAGAACATTTCATTGGCCAATATTTGTTTTATTATGTATGTATAGATTATATAGTTCACATGTCCTAACATTGCTCTGAGGCAGATCTACTTTTACTGCTTTTTGGTTTTGTACAAACCTACAAACTGATTATTTGATAAACTGTGGATAAATGTTAAACCCTATAAGGCCTACTTGTTTATGCACATTTCTAAGGCTTTTAAATGATCAAAACTTTGCTGAAAAACCTGTTTCAAACCATTTATTACTTACCTTTTGATGTCTATATTTTTTTAGCCAGTAAAAGGCCTTTTACTATAATTGTAAAAATGTCCACCTTCAGGTTGTGGTTCACGTGTCTTTTTCCTGTGAAATCCTTAATGATTTTTATTAAGTAAATGTAAGAATAACTTTTATATTGTTATTAATATTTCAAGATGAACACTTACTGGACTGAAGCAGCTTAGGTTTGATTGATTATCCATATATAATTTATTATAAAAATCATGTTTAAAAAAATGTGAGTATCAAATATGATTCATCAGGCTTTTAAGAAAACATTTATTTCTTCATGCAATCATCATTGAATTTCATTGCATTATGTTTTGACCCCCATAATAAAAACCATAAAGCTTCGATCATAAAACTAAAGTATTTAATTATCATCATACTAAACATATTTGTGGCAGATATAGAGTGACAACTGATATTTATATGCATTTTATGAAAGTAGCCTGTTGTAAAGATCTCATTGATTTTTCATTACAAGCTATCAGAATATCATACTTTTTTGGCCATATAAATGTCAGCAACTGCACATATTTTGGCTCAGTTTGGGCCTGAATAAAATTAAGCTGTTTTTTTTCCCCCTCTTTGAGCATGAGCTCCATATCCTCCTATATCATATATGATCCATAAAAAACAGATGTATGAAATGATACTCAGCAAAAACACATATACAATATATGAGCAATATCACTCTCGTACTCGAGCGATACCGGCTCTATATCAGCTCTCGGCCTGCGGCCTCGTGCCTCTGGCCTAATCACAGCCTCTGATATAGAGCCGGTATCGCTCGAGTACGACAGTGATATTGCGTTTATACAACAGTTCGACGGAACATGTGTGTAATTAAACAAGAAACAATAACAAATTACAATTTTCTGGCTTACTTCATATCTCAGGCTTCAAGATTCAATTATTGTTGCAATTTGAAAAAGTTTAACAACTCATTTAACACTTTTTTTTTTTTTTTTTTGGCCTTGCAACTCCTGGCCTGTGGGAGAGAAGTGTCATCCATTATCCTTCTCCTTCTAGTAATCTATTTGCAAGTAAATAAGAATTTCAGAAACGAGCAGTCGAAGCACTACATGTATCTTTCTCTTTTCCGCATCCTCTAGCTCTTTGGATTCCTAAACCTGATATTGTGGGCAGGAAACTGCTGGTTCATCTACAAGGAGACTCCGTTTCATAAGCCGGCCAATCCACCGCCCAGCGTAGAGGGAGGAGTTTCCACCTCCTAATTAGACAAGACGGGCTCCTTCCTCTCCTCTCCATTCGTTCATAAAGCAGAGGACATCACCACTTGTGAAACAAACTACACTTTGATATGCAAAAGCTTTGTTTCTAGCGTCATGCATCGCAGTTCATTACATTAGACATGCTCTAAGCTGAATTCATCATTTCTTTATGGATTTTTTTTTATTTTAGTGTCTATTTAATGGCACTGTCAGAAGCAAATTTTGTCACGCAGGTAAAAAAAGAAACCAAATTATTTGTTAGATCAGTAGCATTTCAGTTACAACTTACAATAAACTTGTTCTAGGTTATTGATGTTTTTCATTTTAATTAATTTGTCTAATTTGATATAAAGATGACCTGCATTTCAGTAACTGTAAATGTCCACTACAATCAGACCTCATGAGAATGTCAAATGTCTCTGAGCACTTCAAATACTAGCACACTAATATCTAGCTTCAGACATTTAAAGCTTGTCTTTGCTTGTAGTTTTTAAATAACTATTTATTGGTTTAAGTGCCTTTTCATTTACGTTCATGATAGAATGTTTTTCCACAGCCACATCTGAGTCACCTTACATTTGTCAGGGAAGGACAAACTAAAAAATTCGTCTCAGTTTCAGCCATAAAGCATCTGATATTTCGTCTGTAACCTTTATTTTAAATGTTTGTGTGAATTCTCTGAGTTGATTGTTTTTCTACTGTTTGGAGTAGTAATGTTGTCATTTATTTGTATTTGGCTGTTATTTGACTTGACACTGTAAATGAAGCATCTGTATCACATGGGTTGATGTTTATATTTACAGAAAGAACATTTACTTTTGTGCATCTGTGGCATGTTTTACCATCTTATTTTTTACAGAAAGAAATGTTTTGTGGGGGATTGCATTCAGTTGAATTCTAAAAAAAAAAAGAATAATTGTTCAACAACAGTGATTGTCTGTGGGCATTTTATGTTCTGTTAAAAATTGATTATTTGTTTAATTCTAAATTGGCAATTTTGTTTTTTATTATATCCTCAAGTAGTTGTTTTAATCGTAAGATGAAACTTTCAAAGGAATATTCAGTGCCACATCTAAACTTTTTAATCTACATAGCTATAAAAAGTAGGTAAAGGTAAACACATTAAATTATTAATATAAATTGTTTAAGGAAAGTAGTTTGGGTCTAATTGTGATTAAAGAGGAAAAAAGTTAAAAGTGCCATTTAAAAATCTTTCCTCGGGTCACATATTGATGATTTTTTTTTGTCCTGGAGCAATCCTCAATTTTGGTTGTGACTTTTGGAAAATATAGGCCAGATTTGTGTGTGTGTTTTATATCTCTATGCTACGTTCAGAAGGAAAACCTCCATAAAAGGCTGTTTGCAGTTTTGATTAGTATTAAAAGAGGAGAGCTGTATATATATTGGTTCGTGTTTTATTTCAAAAGGCTGCTGTTTACTACATAACCACTAGATGGTAGTATTGTAAACAAAATAAATACATCATCTAAATCACACTGGTGTCGATCATACATGTTTCTTTTGGGTCGAAGATAGTGAAAAAAATGGGCAAGATCACGGCAAACCAACACACGTGAATAATAAATAACATATGCATTGCTTATGGTTTAAAGCCTTGAATAAGGTACTAATCCAACTACACCAAGGAAATCGAATCGGATGTATTTATCTGTATTACATAAAGAAAATGAAGCCTATTTTAGAACTATTAAGATTTTTTTGTTTTGCATGTGCTTAATTGTCATATTTTTTAATATATTAAGAATGTGAAATATTTCTATTAAAATTCAGTTTAAGGTACTCAATTTGCATTACAAATCTGTAAAGGGTTTGAAGATTCGTCTAATAAAATAATGTCAAATAAAATATCAATAATGCAAATAAAATTAAAAAGTGCGCGCGCACGCAGATTCCCCCTCCACCCACGGGATCGCGCAATGTGACGTCAGCGCCTTGACGCGCGGTGATGATGGCGGTGCGTGAACGCGCAGTTAAAGTAATGGCTGCTCCGGAACGGCGGGTGCCTTGTCTCGATGATTTCGTGGGCCAAAGCTGGAGCGCCTGGACGGAAAGAGCCAACCTGACAGCATCGGAGGGTGAGTGAGCACTTCGTCGCCGGTATTTCTCCATCCACCACCAAAAAGTCTCACGGATGTGCTTTATTTTTCGTGGAAAAGGCACGGCATCCCGAACCATGTTACCCAAACAAAGAACCTGCCGGGTCCTAGTGCCGGCCGGGTTACGCGCTTGCGCGCTCGCTCTCTCTCGCTGATCAGTGTCGTCATAATAGAACGTGTTCCGCGTTCGTTTTGTCTGGAACTTCAAAAGAAACAAACGCACTCAGTTTAAAACCACGAATCTCCTTTTGTCGGCGGGCACATCAAAGCAGTTAATAGTGTAGGGGTCATTTGCAGGTAGTTTTTATTTTGGCCCCACCCACAGAAGAGCTTGTGCCAGCTTCACAGATGACCAGTTCATGGCACAGATTGCATTTCACACTGAAAATCTTGGGGAATAAAACCTGAACAGTTGACTAGATCTCATATTATGACTCTCATTAAACACCACTGTATGCATAAATCAATGTTGGTCCCTTTTCTCACAGTTTTGACTCAATACATTGCATTCAAGACAGTAACCACATATTCTGGACCAAATAGAGTTCAGCATAGAAGAACCCATTATAGGTCTGATTTTTGGAGGGCACATGTCCTTCTCAATGTTTCTATGGTTACGGCCCATTGAATTAAGTGGGTTTAGAATGTAGCGTTTACGTAAGATGCCCATATGTGCTGTGTTGATAAGTCATTAATGATAATGCATGGAAGTCTGTTATTTTATAATGGTCATGTACCCTTTCTAACATAAACTACCTCCAAACATTTTTCATAGGGTCCAATGGAGATGAATACAGCAAGAATGGCAAAACAACGATGGAAACCATGACACTGAGGAAAGAGGGTAGGCGTTATGTACTTTACTTTGATTTCAAGGGGACACTGATTAACATGAACCCATTTAGTGATGGACTGATATATAAGCCGATTAATTGGCCGGTGTTTAGCTGTTTTGAGATTTTCGACATTAAAAACACGGTGGTTCCTCCTGTCAGGTCCAGCTTTTATAAACCGCCTTATCAATGAATAATAAACATGTTCTTTTGTGAAATTCAGCTTCTGAAAGTTAAAAAAAAAGGCACATTAAGTTGAACAGAGCTATTATTTCAGTGTCATAGGCTGAATTCAGGTAAATATTGGACTGCCACTAGTAGGAACTACTTAAATATGTTTAGAAACATTTGAGTTTTCAAACAGGAAGCTTCAACACACACACACACACAATTAATTTCTCTTTGGAGAAAATTACTGTATTTAAAAACATTTCCTCTAGTTTTACTTTTCGAACAAAGCTAATTTGTCCCTATTGTTTGGTATGCTTTTGTAGATATGTCCATCTTCGGTCATTTTCCTGGGCACGATGACTTCTATCTGGTGGTTTGCGGCCATTGCAGTCAGGTGGTGAAGCCTCAGGCGTTCGAGAAGCATTGCGAGAGGAGGCACGGCCCTCTGGGTAAGCTCTATGCACACCTCCGCTCCACCCCACCTCCACCTCAGCAGCATAGATCCCGTCATGGACACACCCCGCCTTCCCACGGAGCCTCCTCTTGGAGTGGCAGGAACCAGAATGTCGGGCCGCTGTGGGCATCTCCGCAATCTCCCTCAACACCGCCTCAGTTCAGACACACGAAACCTCCGAAAGATGGAGTTTGGTAAGATTTACTAATCTGATCTTGTTTGTTCACGTTAAAAGAGGGTCTAATGTGTTCTAACACAGCCCTGCATCTTTAAAAAAATCTGCTCATTTGCAAAAAAGACCTAATTTTACCTAAATTGATGTTCACATTTTTTTCACTCATCAAAATAACAAAAGCGGTCAAATGTCAAAAGTTTCAAAACATTTTAATAGGGCTGCACGATAAATCAAAATAGAATCGAGATCGCGATTCGACAAAAGCTGCAATTGTCATGCGTATCTTTCAGTGAAGCACGGTTCTGTGATCAGCAGTAAATCTCCATCCAAAGGCCAGAGGGCGCTCTCGCGCTGAAACTCCAAATACGCCTTGCAGAAGAAACCCAGAAAATGCCTATCGCTGCAGCTGAATAAACTGAAGATTTAACCGCTTTTATTGATTCAACATGACTAATAAACACACGACTACGGCTGATGATTTCCTGCTGATTACAGAACCGGCTTTTTTAACAAAATGCGCATGACAATCGCATTCGATTAATCGTGCAGCCCTACATTTTAATGGCAAAAAGAGGTATTCAAAATGTGTCCTTGCACTTACAATCTGGAAAAAATGGGAATAAAGATTAGGCATAAAATGTCTTTAGAATCATTCATACATATGAAAATCGGATGATAATTGATTTGTTCAATTCTTAGATGATTTTGGTTCTGTAGACTAGGCTTGCCGCGATAGACGGTGCTGACGGTGATACCGGTGTTAAGCTTCAACACCGGTTACGTCACTTGCCCACCGCGTCACCGACCCCCACCGTCGTTTAGATTTTTTATAGTAATAACCCTACTGTAGACAAGTTTTTGTTATTTTTTTTAGTTGTAACCTGGCTTAGATGACGACTGGAATCATGTCTTTATGGCAGTTTTTCTGGTGATCAAGTGACAATACAAGACTTCACTTAGCAAATGGTTGTCGGAAGCAGAAACAAAGCTACAAAATGCATTGTATTTTATGAGAAAGTATGATGTGCTACATCAAAACGGGCACCATTTTTGGAATCAGCACCTCAAAATTTGTAAAAAAAAAACAAGTATTCATTCAGCAAAAATATGATGCTGGAT